TAACATACAGTGTGAATTTTGTAAGCTTAAGGCACATAGCAAAGAGAATTGTTATAGGATCATTGGCTATCCACCTAACTATAAGTACAAGAAGAAAGGGGGAGAAACTACCACTGCCAGTAATGCTTACAATGTATTTTCTGAGACTAACAATGTTGTAAAGAATTCCACACCTCAAATGTGTGTGACTACAGGATGAATTCTAAGAGCATCTCACATGCACACTACAGAGGGCAATACTGCAACTTTATCTGCACTAATGAATCAAGAACTTCCACAGGCTCTATTGACTCTTATTAGGGATCAGTATGATCAAATACTTCAGTTTCTCAACAAGGCGTCTTGCTCTTCATCTACTGACAATGCTGCAGGTATAAGTATTGTATTCTTAGCTACTCATAATATTCAAGAGTGGATTATTGACACAGGTGCTACTAATCACATGGTCTCTAACCATAGCCCGTTAACCTCCTTTAATACAGTTGATCCTCCTTACTCTAAGAAGGTATTATTACTTAATGGTGATGTTTCATATGTTAAGCATGTTGGTACTATTGTTATTTCAGATAAGAGCGTTATAAAAAATGTGTTCCACATACCACATTTCAAGTTTAACTTGATGTCTGTATCAAAGGTAACCAAAGAGCTGTAGTGTTTGGTTGCATTTTACCTCAATTTTTGCATATTTCAGGATCTCTTCAATGGTAGGGTGAAGTCTATTGGTAGAGAAGATAAAGGTTTCTACATATTACCCTCTTGGAGCTCATTAGCTTTCAATAAGCATACTACAGAAGCATCACTAGCAGCCATATAGAATGAGTATATGCTCACTAAGAGAACACCTACAAATATGGATCTCAAGCTATGGCACAAAAGATTTGGTCATGTGCCTTCCTCAGTTCTAAACAAACTATTTTCAATAAAGTAGGAGAGCTGCATTTTTGTTGTAAAAGACTATTCTGTTCGTCCATGTGCTAGACTAACTAGACTGCCTTTTCGTAGTAGTACAAATAAAAGTGCAACTTCCTTTGACTTGCTACATTTGGATGTATGGGGACCCTATAACACTACAACTATTGATGGTAATAGATGTTTCATAACTGTAGTGGATGACTACTCTAGAATAACTTGGATTTTTCTTTAAAACTCAAGTCAGATGTGTGTGTTGTCTTACATGATTTCCTGATGTATGTGAAAACTCAGTTTGACAAACAAGTTAAGTGTGTTAGGACTGATAATGGAGCTGAATTTGTTAATTCTGTTTGTAATGCTTTGTTCAAGAATCTTGGAATTATCCATCAAAGAACTTGTGTTTATACTCCTCAGCAAAATGGAGTTGCTGAGAGAAAACATAGGCATATTCTAGAGGTGTATAGAACTTTAAGATTTCAAGGTTACATCCCTTTAATATTTTGGAGGCATTGTATGTTGGCAGCTATTTATCTCATCAACAGGATGCCCTCCTCATAGCTAGGTCACAGATCTCCTTATGAGTTATATATAGGAAGATGTGTTTGCTTGGGCAGCTCAGGGTCATAGGTTGTCTGTGCTATGCCAAGATTGTCAATGAGACAGATAAACTTAATCCAAAAGCTATCACTGCTATACACATGGGCTACTCTTCTTCTTAAAAGGGCTATATTCTTCTTAACTTGTCAATTAACTCCTTTTTTGTTAAAAGATATAACATTCAGGGAGGATATTTTTTCATTTCAGCAGTTCTACTCTAAAAACGGTTTGTATTCCTTGATACATATTCTTCTGTTTTAGCACGCTCTATTGAGTAATGGTATGCTCAAGATGCTCCACCAGGATCTCACCAAAACTCTATTGCTCATGACTCTTCAGTCTTACCACATGTGGCCTCTTCCTTTCTCCTGGCAGCACTAACTCAAATATAAGTCCATTACCAGTTGCTGCATCACCAGGTATTGAGGTCTCTCAAGTTGGTTCACCTACTCTTAAGAGGTCATCCAGAGACAAGCATCCACCATTGTGGATGAAGGACTTTGTTTCTCTTTATGCTAATCAACACACTCCTTATGGGTTGACAACTTATCTGTCCTATGATCACCTGTCTCCTCACTACCAGGATTTCATTGCCTCTTCCTCTTTTGAGGTTGATCCTATCTCCTATACTGAAGCAGTCAAGAACCCAGATGGGTGGCTGATATGAAGTCTAAAATTGCTACCTTAGAGGATAATCATACATGGGATTTTGTGACAATATCTATTGGGTGTAAATGGGTGTACATGATAAAGTACAAGGCATCCGGTAAATTGACAAGTTAAAAGCCAGTCTAGTTGCCAAAGGTTATAGCCAGAGAGAAGGCATTGACTATCAGGAGACTTTTTCTCCTATTGTCAAGATGGTTACAGTCAGAACAATTTTTTCCGTTGTTGTTGTGCAACACTGGCACATTCATCAAATGGATGTGTCAAATGCTTTTCTCTAGGGTGATCTTCATGATGAGATCTACATGGACCTGCCTCAGAGTTTTGTGAGTCAGGGGGAGCAGCAGATATGCAGACTCATCAAATCCCTATGGTCTCAAGCAGGCCCCTAGAAAATGAAATGCAAAGCTTTCAGAGGCTATGTTACAATTTGGTTTCACTCAGAGTCAACATGATCATTCTCTATTCATAAAAGGATCAGGAGGTGACCTAGTACTCATTCTATTCTATGTTGATGATATGTTAATTACTAGCAACAATCTAACATTGATTAGAGAAGCCAAATATGCTTTGCAACAAGCCTTTAAAATAAAGGACCTAGAAGAGTTAAGATACTTTTTAGGGATTGAATTTACTAGGTCCAAGCAGGGGATCTTAATGCACCAAAGAAAATACACTCTAGAACTTATCTTTGAGCTAGGACTGGAAGCAGCAAAGCCAGCAGCTACACCACTTGAAACCAATGTAAGACTCACTACAAAAGAGTTTGATGATCACTTGGTCAGTCCAAGCCAAGGGGAGGATGAGTTACTATGTGATGCAAGTTCTTATCAGAGGCTTATAGGCAAGCTACTCTACTTAACCATAACAAGACCAGACATTGCATTCAGTGTGCTAACCTTAAATCAATTCCTGCATCAAACAAAGAAATCATATCTTGAAGCTGCCCTAAGAGCAGTCAAGTATGTGAAAAATTAGCCTGGACAAGGAGCGCTTCTGTCAAGTAATGCTGACAAGAGTATCACAGCCTACTGTAATGCTGACTGGGCAGCTTGTCCACATTCTCTCAAATCTATAACAAGTTTTCTTGTCAAGTTTGGTGATTCACTAATATCTTAGAAGTCCAAGAAACAAAGCACCATATCTAGAAGCTCAGCTGAGTCAGATTACAGGAGCCTAGCCTCTACAACCACAGAGTTAACATGGATTTTGGGGATATTCAAATAAGTTGGAATAGAGGTGAAACTCCCAGTTGAGGTTCACATTGACAACAAAACAGCATTGCAAATAGCAGTCAATCTAGTGTTTCATGAGAGAACCAAGGATATAGAGATTGATTGCCACATTATGAGAAAAAAAATACAAAAGGGGCTAATAAGAACTGAGTACATTCCCACCAAAAAGCACCTAGCAGATTTGCCAACCAAAGGGCTCAATAGAGTTCAACACGAATATCATTGTTCCAAGCTAGAGATGTTTAATATGTTTGCACCACCTAGTTTGAGGGGGAGTGTTGAGAGTAATAGAACTTAAAGAAGGAGTTGAACTTTGTATTATTTATGAGTTGGTTAGTTTGTTAAGTAAGTAGTTAATTAGTTGGTGACAGCTAAACATAGGTAGTGTATATATTAGTCACATGTACTTCATTTTTTTCTCCAGAGTTTCAATGAAATAGTTCCTAAACAAAGTCTCCTTCTTCTCTTCTTTCCCTATCTCTGCATGTCATCTTCTTCTCCTCTCTCTCAATTCTTCTATTAGGCATGATATTTTTTTTCTGGCAATAAGATCCTTCCATAATTACATAAATATTTTTTACGCATACAACTCTCAAGGATGTTTGATGATAAAATAAAACATATTCAGAATGTATATATAGAAAGTGTTTATCGTGATGACTTAAAGGGAGTATGATTTGATATTAATAAAGCAAAATATACCAATAGTGGTTATATCTTAAATACTTTGTAAATATTGAATAATACTTCCTCTATTTCAATTTAGATGAGGTAGTTTGACTCGACACGGAGTTTAAGAAAAAAAAATTGTAACTTATGGTCTTAAAATCTTAAGGGGTAAAAGTTTTGTGAGATCATGACATTTGTGTGGTTATAAAAGCTTCTCACTAAGGGTAAAATGGATAAAATAAAGAGTTTAATGTTGAATTATTTTCAAATTTAAAAATGAGATTTTTTCTTTCCTATACCATATATGAAACCTTATTACCAAAAATGTGCATCGTTTCTAATTTACCCACCCTATCCATATTTTTTCTACAGTTATTATACCAATCATTAAATACTAATTAATAGTAGCTGAATCTTCCTAATTTGTCGAGCTAAAATCCAGGAACAGAATCTTCTAAAAAGATTTGGCGTAAATCAGATCAAATCATATCACGGAAATCATTTATCTTTAATTTATAATCAAATTCTGTTCTTCGATATTCTCACAATCGCTACAAATCAAAATCTCAATTCGTCGAAATCAGAAGCTCAATTTCAAATTGTAGAAATTAGTTCTGCAAATCTCAGTTTGTCGACTTTTTTCCTCAATTCACTAATCAAAAAAGCGACAAAATATTCAACAAATTCAAGTCAAATTGTAGAAATTAGTTCTGCAAATCTCAGTTTGTCGACTTTTTTCCTCAATTCACTAATCAAAAAAGCGACAAAATATTCAACAAATTCAAGTCAAATTGTAGAAATCAATTCTGCCGATTCTCTATTCTTCGTCTTTTTTTCTTAATCCAAAAAATCAAAAAAAAAAACGACAAAATATTGAACAATACCTCAGCAACGACACGCAATCATGTCAAAATCCCAATCATGCTACATTTTAATGGCAATTGGGATAGCTATGGTAGATTTAGAGATTTTCAAGTTGATGGCATTATGCTTAATGAGGATGCAAGTTACAGTATGTTGATTTCTACAATTGCAGAGCAATTAATGATTGATACTTCAGAAAAAATTGTAGAAATCAAATATATTGTGAATGAGAATTGTCCTCCAATAGAGATTAGGAATAATGTGGGGGTTAGTGTGTATATAGAGACAAAAAAGGAGAATAAAAACTTAGGATCGTATCCGTTACTCATAAGTGTACGAGATTTCAATATGGAATTGGCTATTACAAATGAGAACACAAGTGCAGGTTTGTTATATTTCAAATTCTATGGAAGTCTGATTTTACGATAATATCTACAAAATTCCTACATTTATTTACAAATAAACTACAAATCAGTTTTAGGATGTATAAAGCAATATTGTTTTCATGCTTATCAACAAAATTACTACATTTATAGTACAATTAAGCTACAAATCATGTTGAAAAAAAATTGACTACAAAATTTTCTATTCATCTACAATTTATCTACAAAGATTCTACAAAATTGTATATGACACTGTTTATCTTTATTTTCATGCAGGTTCGTCTGGGACAATATAGTTACTTGATATGCCAGCCTCTCCCGTTATAGAGGAATATCAAAGTGAAATAATAACTGAAGGTACACAAAGTGTTATCGAAGAAGGACAAGTGTATCAAGACAAGCAAACAATTGCAACTGCAATGAGGCACTATTCTATCATGCACAAGTTCCAATTCAGGGTTAAAAGATCTAGCCACAGAAGGTATGAAGATATTAATTGTGAAAAGACCTTTATAAACAGTATTTTTATTGTGATATGTAGATGAAAAGTAGTTATATTGTATAGTGTGTTACTTTATGTTAAAACATTCATTTTATTAAATCTACATTGATAACATGTATTATAAATGTATTTTTTTGTAGCTACTGACTCATATGTGTGCAGAAAACTGTAATTGGCATTTCAAGGCAACATCAATTAATGATTCTGCAATGTTCAAGATCAGGAGTTTCAATCGACAACACACATGCACCTTAATGAATGATACATTCATACAGCGCAAACGTACTGCAGCTGTAGTTGGTAGCATGGTCATGCCAAAGTATTGTGATCCTAAGATAGTTTACACACCAAAGGACATACAAACTGACATGTTGTCCCAACACGGAGTGAACCTAAGCTACATGCAAGCATGGAGGGCAAAAGAAAAGGCTTTACAGTTATTGAGAGGTCATCCGGCTGACTCCTACAACAAATTATCAAAATATTTTTATATTCTTGAGAAGATGTATCCTGGTTCATTTGTTAAATTGAAGAAGACAACAGATGAATGTTTCTTATATGCATTTGTTGCTCTTTGTACATCAATAAGTGGTTGGAAATATTGTAGACCAGTAGTAGTGGTTGATGGGACATTCTTAAAGACAACTTACAGGGGGATTATGCTAACAGCAAGCACAATGGATGCAGCAGGTAAAATTGTAGTTATTTTGTAGTTATTTTGTAGGCAGTTTATAAATTGTAGATACATTGTAGATATTTTGTATATATATATTTTAGCTTATATGTATTTGTGTTTTCATATGCATTTTCAAATCTGCCAATTAATTATTTTTTTATTAATAATGTAGATACAATATTGCCTCTGGCATATGCTGTGGTTGATTCAGAAAACGACGCATCGTGGAAGTGGTTTTTTGAGCAATTCAAGCAAGCATATGGTGAAAGAACTTCAATGTGTGTTGTTTCAGATAGGAATGAGAGTATCCTGAAGGCAACATCAATTGTCTATTCGAACGTACCACACTACTCTTGCGTGTGGCATATTTGGACAAATATAAGGGCAAAGTTCAAGAAGGGTCATCTACAATTAAATGAATTATACTTTGCTACAGCAGGGTCATACACTCTGGATGAATTTAATGAAAGGATGACGAAGATTGAAGAGATAGACCCGCATGTTAAATCATACCTCTATGATATTGGCTATCATATATGGTCAAGAGTACATGCAACGGTGAATAGAACTTGGACTATGACATCAAACATTGCCGAGTTGTTGAATGATGTAACAAAAGAGGCAAGAGAGCTGCCAATATTTGACATATTAGAGTATATGAGGACACTTCTTGAACGTTGGATGAAAGAAAAGTTATTGAAGGCAAAGGGTACTTTCACATACCTTGGGTACAAATTCAACAAAGAATTGGAGAAAAACAGTACATTATCTCAGAAACTTAGGGTAAGATCTGTTTACTTGGTGCAGAAAATTAATTAATTAATATACATTGTTTCCAGATTGTAGACAAATTGTAGCTAATTTGTAGATTGTAGACAATTTGTAGATATAATTGTAAATACATTGTAGATAAATTGTAGATAATCTATTTTTATGATTGTAAATATTTTTCTCTCTGTTTGTTATGTAATTGTAGGTGAGGGCTTCAACAGATCATATCTATACTGTGATAGATGGTGTGAAGCGGTAAATTGTGTGTCTTGAAAGCAAAAAATATAATTGTGGCCAGTTCCAACTTGATGAACTTCCATATCCGCATGCTTTGGCAGCTCTAAGGCACAAGAATGAAACTTATGAAAATTATTGCTCTCCATATTTCACAAGGGAGAGCCTGCTGCGTACATATGAAATACCAGTAAATCCCCTTCCTGATGAAAGCAAACGGAATGTGCCACAACATATATCTGATGAAGTAGTAAATCCACCTACGGGAGAGAAAAAGCAGTCAGGAAGACCTCAAAAGGAAAGATACAAAACATATGATGAACTAAAGTCAAAGAAATACAAAGTGTCATGTGGCAATTGTGGAGGTGAGGGCATAACAAAAGATCTTGCAAGAATGCATCCAAAAAGAAATAAATATCGTGTAGTTAGAATAGTATTTCAAAATAATTGTTAGTGTGTTCAAGTTAACAGAATTTTTGTGTGTAAACGTTTAAGTTTTGAAAGATCATAATGTAGTTATCTTCAATTTGTTTCTGTGTTTGTTAACATATTTTTCTGTATTGTATCAATCATCTACCTCCATTTTTACATTCTGTACATATCAGTTAATATTTATTATCTATAATATAATTACAAGTTAAAAAAATTAATGTAACTTGAACTGACAGTTATATACAGAAAGTAAATACAACTGGAGGTATTTCCTACAAATTATATACATATTCTCAACTATAAAAATTATATACAATCTCAACATTCAATATTTTCAGATTGTGGATAATTTGAAGTTTTTTTGTAGATAATTTGTATTCTAACAACATAATAACTACTTTTAAGATAATGAAGAACAAGTGATGTAAATATTAAACAACTGGAGATAAAACTACCAAAGTTATTTTCAAGTGAACTACTAAACTGGATAGAAATTAACAAAACAAAAGGTCTGCTACAATAAAAATACAAAAGAAATGTTCAGAAAGTTGTGTACTATACTTCTCCTACAAAGTAGCATCAACTAAATTACATAGACATGAAACTACTTCTTCTTTATCTGGACTCTTGTTTTCTCATTCAATGAAGGTGCACCCTTCCTCCTTGCTAGTCTGCATGTAACCTCACTTTCACTGATTGACCCATCTTCCTGCTTCTTTGTAGCATAGTCCCATAGGAGCGCTCTATAGCGTCTACGATGTTGGTCAATATCAGAAAGATCTTCTGCGGGAATTGACAAATCTCCAAGGCTAACATACTCCGCAAATGCAGCAACAAATACACCACAATCGCTGCAGAAACACAATTTTTTTTAAATATTTACCAAATAATTAGAAATAAAAAAAGAATTAAATGCATAGAAAGAGAGAATAGATCTTTTACAGTGACCCTTCTTTTTGTTGTGGAATCTCTGCAACCATCCACTAAATGTTAAGAGGGTCGGTAACAGGTTTCTCGATGTATGCCTTTGTGTTCATGAAGTTAATGTCCTTACGCTTCCCATAAAAACCAGTGCATGACAAATACAAAGGGATAATAACAGAAAACTTTTTGACACAGTATTCAACAACATGATGATTGTGTGAAGAGACCATGGAATCATACGCATAAAGTTGCCTGTCTGCAATGTCGAAAACGACCAACACCCAATGGAATTTTTCTTTAATATTGACGAGCATGATGACATAGTCAACTTTATCCCATGCAACATTGGCAAGTAGTCTATACCCCAAAATATATTCTGCAACAACATCTTGGAGTTTAACAACCGAATACTTCTCTTGTGGAGGTGAATTTATAAACTTTTCATAAATTTGTTCTATCCTGGTCTTGAACATATAATCCGTTGTGGTAAACCTGGTCTTGTTATTGGGGCCATACTTGCCTCTTTTCCTCAAGTAATACATTATTACATTAATGTGTTGCACCCAAAAATAGTTGGCATATAAACAGCAACTCAACTTCAAATAATCAACATGAAACCTACATCATAACTACAATTAACTACAAAAACAGAAACAAAAAATATCTACAATGATATCTAAAAACAGCTCTACAATTTAAACAAATTTACCTATAGTTTACCTACAGTAAATATACAATTTACCTACAGTTTAAGTACCTAATCTAAAAATAACTACAATTTACCTATAGTTACTGGGCAAACACGTAACACAGCACCTACAATCATGTCCACATTATATCTACATTTAAGACTACAATTAATCTTGTAATGTTCTACATAAACTACAAAATAACTATAATTACACTACAAATAGTAAATACAGCAATAAAACTATTCTATCCACAAAATACATATAGAATTTATATTATAAATAATCTTCAAATATGATACATAACATGAAACCTAAATATTAATTATACTACATACAAGAAAGACAACATTTACAATCATGTCTACACCATATCTACACTTTATACTACAAGTCATCTTCATATATTATCTACAAAACAGAAGACAAAATATCTACAAATCATATCTTGGGAATAGACTCTTTGATACTTACCGAGTCCTTGAGGACTTGTCCGGGGTGAGCCAGCGAAAAGAATCATTCCTTCTTATCAACCTTTTCCACTCCAAGGTCTAACCAAGGCTTAATTTGGTTATCCTTTATGAAAAACAGAGCCTTCTTCCTGTAACAACAAATAAATGACAAAAAAATATTGTAGATTGAATTAGATATGTAAAAGATAAATGCTGAAATGAAAGTGTCAAATTATGCATTCATACCTCTTTGAACCTTTGTCGCTAGACTGGTATAACCACTTGTTGAAGTTTTCTAAAATATCCGGATCTACATTTCACCAATAATAGTAGTAAAAGGGTGCTTGAGGTAGAAAATTTTAGGTCCAACCGAGCTGCTGTCCCCAGAACTGTATAGAGGGATAAATGGTGATCGGACATGCTTTCTCGGATGCCTTGTTCTCCCCGGATGCATAGGTGTTGCATCATCTTGTATGGGCTCGTCAAACATAACCAACTGGGATAAGTTGTCGGGCAACTCAAAATCATCTAGTGTGACCCCATTCTTCTCAACTCCTGATTCTTCTGAATCACCTAGATCCACATACTGTGCATCTGCACCTTCATTGTCATATTCCTCAATGACCTGTTCTGACTAAGTTGTTACTGTCACTCCGTGAATTGGGGACTATGCATTGATATCTTCCGTAACTGTAACACAATTCATAACAATTTTAACAAGAATGTTAAAATTTATAAACAACAAGAAAATATCTCGGAGTGACAGTATGATACCTGCTTTTGTCTTTATCAGCTGCAACTTGAAAATGTGTATATAAATCACCATGTGATGGAAGATTTTCTTGACCAACTGCACCTTCAACATGTTCTGTTTTATAATAAAAAATAGTAAATAATACTGGATAATGATGGCTTGAAAGGTGTAGTATATGTGTAGCAAAATTGTAGATATTTTGTGGATAAGTGTACATATGTTAATTATATACTGACACAAATTGTAGATATTTTGTAGGTATTTTGTAGATACCTGTTTTGCTGGTGCTTTCTTGCACTTGTTCCCCAATATTGAACTGAAAATGCTGATTGTTCAAGTCTTTTTGTTGGTCATTGTTTTTTGTTGAACTGCCAGCAAACTGAATGTTTTATGTTAATTTGTATATATTTTTTCATTGTCTAAATTATTTTGCTATAAAAATAAAATCCAGATCTTACCTTTGCATCATCTTGCACATTTCTAATGTTTATCATTTGCAAAACAGACTGCATAGAATCATTTATAAACACTCGAAGGCTATCGAGTTCTACAAAGATAGCTTTCCTAAAATCTTCAAGCTTTCTATCAACCTACAAGTTACATTATAGTAAGTTGTTAACTTCATAATATGTCCTAACATACAATGCAAAAACATATGCAATTATATAAAGATATATATCAGAATTTACAAATTTGTAGATATTTGGTAGATAGTTTATGAAATGTAGATATATTGTAGATAAGATGTAGATATATTGTAGTTTATATGTATTACCTGCTCAATTCCTTTTTTTAATTTACTGATCTTCTCAGCAATAGACTCCTCTCTTCTCCATCTGTTTGTTTGGGTTCCAACATAGGAGGATCAACATTGGGAACCTCAGATGTTTGTTCACCATCTTGAACTTTGTACTCAATTTTGTCGGGCAAAATCAGCACTGCAATCTCTTCTCCAGATTCAAATATATTGGTAAACTGAATGAGGAAAAATAAATTAGTTTGATCAAGGCAGAAAATGTAGAATACTTGTAGATATGTTGAAGGTAAATGTATAATCGTAATAAAAGAAACTATACCTTTATCCACTCATGCTTTATCATCTTCTCTTCAAAGACAGCTAACCAAATCTGCCCCTTAGTAGTTGACCATCTTAGTATGCGAGGTATTAAGTTAGAACACCTTGTAGCTAGATCAGTGCTGACAGTAGAGGAACACTCATAAAGCCATACTTGCAATGCTAGTGAGCATCCCCATATGAGATAATAAGGTACATACGGATTTAGTTTGTGCTTAACAGATTCCATCATCTGGGTGAAAGATTTAATACCCCATGGGTATGACTCATACTGCCCAGATTCTACCAAATAGAACCTAAAGTGATCTACAAAAGAAACATGATCTTTGTCCGAAGGACAAATGAAAAATTCTAAAAGATAAAGGATGTACAACTTCACCGCATCCCCATCGTTTACCCAGGATCTAGTGTTTACTATCTGTTTCAAATAAGACTTCTCCACTCTTAATTTGTTAGGAAAATAACTGCTCATTATTTTGCTAATATAAGTGGGAGTATAAATAAAATCAGTAACCTGGGTAACACATCTTAGACCAGTAATTAATGCAAACTCACGCAATCCAAAATTTAATTCACCCTTTAACTGTACAGAAAAATATGATTCATTGGATTTGGCCAATTCATACTTCATTAGAAGATGAATGACTTGGTTTTGCATGCATATGGTGGGAAGAGACAATAAGTATCCAAAACACATCTTTTGAAAAGATTCAAACCATTTGAGGATAGAAGCTCTTTAATCTAGCTAGGAATGTTAGGATCACACAAAGTGTGGAATCTAAGCACCCCATAATCAACATTATGTGGGGCAAAAAATGTCCATTCTGCACAAATAATAAATTAATTCACATTAATAAAATGCATAAAAAGGATAAATTCATCTACATTTTATCTACAACATAACTACAAATGATTACATAATATCTACAATTTAAAGCATTTTCTACAAAAGGGCAGCAACAAAAGATAACTACAATTCTGCTTCAAATATTACAAGTTACCTAACAGTATAACTACAAAAAAAACTACAAAATATCTAAAACTATAAAAGCAGAACATCACAACTACAAATAATCTTCAAAATTAAGACAATTAATCTACACTTGTCTAAAACATGTAGAACACAGATTTACCATCCTAAACCAAACAAAAAAAATTAGAAACGAAACTAATAAATGTTTACCTTCGCCAATGATTGGTTCTGAACAATTCTAGGGTATTTTTTTTGAATGTTTCTTCATTTTTAGATTTTTCGAACCAGGAGACACCTTTGCTTTCTTTCCTGTTCGAAGATTAGGGACCTCTTCTACAAAGTCGTCGTCTACAGAAATCTCTTTTCCTTTTCGTTTGACTTGTTTGACTGGTGTAGAAGTTTCTCCAGTATCTACATTGTGTTTTTGTTTGGTTCTCATCTCGGCTCTGATTTGTCGGGGAGAGGAACTATGAGTAGTCTCTACAATTGCATGTGGAGATTTGCCTTGCTTTTTGGGTGATTTTGGGGATAAAACACCCAAATCAAAGGAGGGTATATCAGCTACTGCTGATTTTTAGGACTCTTTTTTGAAGCTTTGTTGTTCTTCATTGATGACCTTCAACTGGAGTAAAATAGGGAACAAATTTGTTTGAAGGGTTTCTTCAATTTTCTGTGATTATAGAGGGAGATTGGGTGGTTTCAGAAGATGAAAAATGGTAAAAAGAACGTGGGTATGGGTAAAAAGAACATGGGTACGGGACTGAGAGGTTAGGAGAGAGAAAGTAAGGGATGAGTGGAGATACTGGAATTAAACAGAAATCCTTTAATTAAGGAGTAAAAAACATCTCATTAATTATATCCTTAATTAATTATGGTATAGAAATAGTAATTTGGTATACTAAGTGTAATTAAGTCAAACTTTAAATATTGAGGGTAAAAAGGTTTCCTATGTGGCATAGGAATGCAAAAATTACTTTAAAAATGTGTCAATTATTTTGGAACAGACTAAAAAAAATATATTTGGTCTAATTTAAAACGGAGGGAGTAATAAATTAATAGGCGTAAAAGTGGCTACTGGTGAACTTAGCCCCACGTAAGATGGCCTGTGGATCCAACACAAAATTGGCACTTAGAACAGTGCACACTCAGAGAGTCCAAAATAGAGTGAGAATGTCTTAAGTGTTACTCCCTCCATTCCAATTTACTTAACCTATTCCATTGAGCATAGAATAAGACTTCTGGAAGTTGTAATTTTAAATAAGTTAAAAAGAGGACCAGAATATTTATATAATGGTAAAATATTCTCAAATTATAAATTTTAAGTTAAATTATTATCAAATTTAATTTAATAAGAGATCATTCTTTTTAAAACGGACCAAATCTACTAATTCAATTTCAGTTTTCGGATGATGTTGACAACATAACGATTCAACTTTTTCTTTAAGTTGACACGGGAATTTGGTATATATGTTATACCCTTGCCTTCTTTATGTATTAATTATCACACTTATTGTAGAAACCACAGAACAGCGAGGCATATTAATTTGGATCTTTCCTGATCTAATACCTCTAGGATATATTAATAGAAAGCTGTGTTGTAGTAGTTGAACTAACTCGGGTTATTGGATTTGGATAAATTTGAGGCAGAATAGTGAGGTTGCTCAACCCAAGTGGATGATGGGAATTTCTTGAAAACAGGATTGCTATGAAGATTTGTTACAAAGATTGAAACTTTGTGAGATGGGGTTGAAGATGTACTTAGTTTATTGAAGTGACTCAAGGTGTTGGATAGTTAAAGGTGAGTGCTTTCTGCTTAAAGTTTCTATTTTTATTATGGTTGCATATTTGGATTTGCTTCTTTTTTGTGCTTTTATTTTAATGGGTTCATATTTGATTTTGCTTCTTTTACTGCTTTTGAAGTTTCTATTTTTAGGGGTGCATATTGGATATTTGTTCCTTTTAAAGTTCTTATTTTTAAAGTTGTCTCTTAAATATTTGGCCTGGTTTTCAACAGATTTAGGAATATGGCAACTCCAGTTGAACCTCCAAATGGGATTAGAACCCCGGGGAAACATTACTATTCGATGTGGCAATCTTTGTTTGAGATTGACACAAAGTATGTTCCCATCAAACCAATTGGTAGAGGAGCATATGGAATTGTTTGCTCTTCTGTTAACAAGGAAACCAGTGAGAAGGTTGCAATCAAGAAGATAAACAGTGCCTTTGATAATCATATTGACTCCCTGAGAACTTTGCGTGAAATAAAGCTCCTTCGCCATCTTAGGCACGAAAATGTGATTGCTTTGAAAGATGTTATGATGCCAATCCACAAGACAAGTTTTAAAGATGTTTATTTGGTTTATGAGTTAATGGATACAGATTTACATCAGATCATCAAATCCCCTCAAACACTCACAAACAACCATTGCCAGTATTTCCTATTCCAGGTACCTGAGAGCACTAGCTATATTTACCTGCAATCTTTTGAAATGCATCTTCAACATGATTTACTTTGTCATACTATGTAAACTGAAGTAGTTTATGCTGAGGAATTGGTTCGTAGAACTTGACTTTTCTGCTTTAAATCAGATAAGTGTGATATTTTGATGTTGTGGTTGTCGGAAGGAAATTTCCAGTTTTAGTCAATATGAATATGAGGATATTAGCCAAAATATAGTCATTGGTTGCTACTTGGCAGCCTTCTGATGTTTATATTTTTCCTTCTTTCTCATTTATGGTTGTCTTGTACTAGCTATGTTGCGCGGACTCTCCAAAATGTTGCCGCACCCATATCAGATTCTCCAAAAATACACTGTTTTTGGAGGTTCCGACACGCACCTGACGACATTTTCGGAGAGTCCGAGCAACATAGTCTACTAGCTTTGAAATTCTGAATGCCGTTTGAGCTTTTTCATGAAGGGCCAAGTTTAAGGATCCTCTCGCTGTTAAGCTCTTTTCTTATTTATTTATAATGGTATAAAAACTTTTATTCAACTTTTACTTTGGTAAAAGCTCTTTCTTTCCTGCTTCCAAAATTACATTCTGCTTTTTCTGCAAAAAATCACCAGCTTCAACTATCGTCCACTGATTGAATTTTCATCTAAACTGGATAACTTCCACCTTGAGTCAGAGATGCATTCTCCAACAGGCAATCTTTATCTCTGACTATACTGAATAGATAAAGGAAAAACATCCTTAAGCAACCTTTCTTCACACCAGCTGTTAGGCAGAATCTAATTTATTTTCCAATATCCCACTTTTAGGATTATTACTTTTTTAAAATCCCCCCAAAAGATTCATAATATGTTTCTAAGCAGCTACTCATAGGGCGAGTAGACAGGTTTTGGATCCCAAGAGCCTTGTTTGCCGTATTTAGTGATAACAATTGATTTCCATACAACATCTTTACCATCATTCAACTTCCACAACTGTTTAAATAACAAGCACTTATTGTGTAGTTTAAGATCTCTTAACTTCCAAGACTTGGGCCTGTTTTTTTTCCTAGAGATCTTTCGCCATTTAACTAAGTGCATCTTCCTGTCAGTAGCATTACCTTCCCAAACCATTATCTGTTAGTTCTCTTTTCCACCTTTAATGGAATGGACAACAAAGACATCAAGTAGGTAGGGAATCCATCTACAACAGTGCGAGACTTGTGTTGTCTCTTCCAGGGAGTTAGGCTTCATCTCACACTTATCAATAATGCTTTGACAAACATCAACATCCTTGCTTAGGAAGTTCCAAATAGAAGTAGGGAAATTTTCAGTCTTACAGCCAGAATCCCAGCAAGACCTTCAATCAGGCTGTCTGCATTTACAGCGAAAACACTGCTCTTGGTTAAAATAATCATAAGGCCAGAAACAGCTTCAAAGGGCAGCAGCATCACCCTTAAGTGCACCAACTGTTAAGCTCTTCAAGCAGATGGAAATGAGATGGGAATCCAAATGTCAATGTCAAAGCAGAATAGTATTCTCTATTGGATAGATTTTCGTTCTCTCAAGTTTCCCAGTGGAAAGAGAGAAGAACCAACTATTTTCCATAACTAATGAACTGCAGTTTCTTGTATTCCTGTCATCCTAGTTCTTCATAAAGTGTCTTCTCTGGTTATATACCCAAAATCTGAGCAAGATCTATGTTACCATCTGGTTGTTCTGTTTCATGGTGGCATTTCTTCATTTTTTCTTAAAAGAGTAATAGAAGCTTCAGATTTACATTACTTTCAAGTATTATACTCACTCTTCCATTTGTAATGGAAAAAAGAAGTGAACTTTTTCAAGCCTTGTACATACTAAGGAACATTAGAACTGAGATCTCTCTTGCTTGATAAATCAAATAACTTGAAGCACAAAAATAAACTTCTCAGTTGAATCGGCTATGAAATTATCTATGATGAAAACAACCTGAAATTCCCTTATGTCTGGAATGCAAATTACGTTTGATGAACTGAATGTAAATCATTATTTTGTAAGTACATTCTTTGGCTTACCCCTGAAATCCCAGGAAAAAAAAAAAGATCTCTATCAGNCCCCACCCAAAAAAAAGGGCTAGTGCATACACCTCTTTATGAAAGGAAGAAGATGAAAAAGCTGGGATACTTGGCTGACTTCAGTTCTCTATCAGATTCTTATATCAGGATTTCCTTTGTCCAGGCCCATTCCTCATGAGAGTATGACCATTCAAGTCGGACTACTACTCTCTGAAGACCCATCAAACTCTTCCTAGACTTCCTTTCAAATTGCTCGCCACCTCAACCCCTTTGCATACTCTAGTCTTCTTCCACCAGCGTTCCTGATTTCTAATTTCTAATACAAACACCTAACTCTGCATTATCACACCATGTGTGTAGACATGCATTTCACTACCATATTCTCTATAAGTACTATCTCTTTTCTATGGGAGGTCATTCTTTTTCCAGACAAACTTCTTGTTGCATGATGTTTTTCCGATACCGCTCATCCATATCTTGCAGTAAAGGACCAAAACCAATTCTTTAAGAAATTTGTCACTGAGGTCCTTGTGGCCTTGTTTGGAAAAGTTTTCCCCTTTTTCGCAGTTTCATCTTTTCAAGCCAATATTCCGGTGAGGTCCTTGTTGCCTTGTTTTAAGAGCTTTTGCCTCTCCTTACACCTTCAAGAACACTAAACGTGTCAAAAGTTATCTCAATCTTTACTGTCGTTTTTGCCCATTTATACTTCTGCAAAATTCTGCTAATCCGTAGTCTACTTCTTTCCCATTTTTTTAATTTGGGTCTTGGTTCCATGTCTAGTTAGCTTCGTCTTGAGCAACAGAAATTTTCGAAGTGAACAACCATATGGCTTTCTTTGGTTAATTCTTCATGTCTTGCCCAAAACATGCCCCATGATGGAACACTTTTGTCATTTGATGGGGGAGTATATATCCAGAGTCAGGATGTATCATCTGCTCCTTCTCTTTTCTCATTCTGCTCCCAAATGGATAAATCGGAGATCAATCTTATGAATTTTGTGAGTTGTATGCCATATATATGTATTAGAAGTCAGAACTAGGAGCTAATTGTAATCTAAATAGAATTGGATGCGGTATAACAGATATTCCACACAACTATGAGGTTAGAGGTTTGAGTCACCAAGGGAGTAAAGTGGGAAAAGTGCCATTATCAACTCCTGGCCGGTTTGGGGGCCGTGGGGGTTGGAGTTTATTCATAGAAAAAAGATTGACAAAATCTCCTAGGTATCAGATTTGTCGATTTTACCTTTTTCTCTTCTGAAAGCTAAATTGGCATTTGCATGCAGTTGCTTCGAGGTGTGAAGTATCTCCATTCTGCAAACATTCTTCATCGCGACTTGAAGCCTGGGAACCTGCTTATCAATGCTAACTGTGATTTAAAAATTTGTGACTTTGGGCTTGCACGTACAAGCAATGGCAAGGGCCAGTTCATGACTGAGTATGTTGTTACGCGCTGGTACAGGGCACCGGAACTCCTGCTCTGCTGTGACAACTATGGAACTTCCATTGATGTATGGTCTGTTGGTTGCATTTTTGCTGAACTCCTTGGAAGGAAACCGGTCTTTCCAGGTAAGGAGTGCCTTAACCAACTTAAATTGATCATCAACATCCTTGGCAGCCAGAGGGAAGAAGATCTTAGATTTATTGATAACCAAAAGGCGAGAAACTACATAAAATCACTTCCATACTCTTACGGAGCACACTTTTCCCGACTGTATCCCCATGCCCATCCTTTGGCCATTGATCTGCTACAGAAGATGCTTGTGTTTGATCCTTCAAAAAGAATAAGTGTTACAGAAGCGCTTCAACATCCATACATGTCTCCCCTATATGATCCAAGATGTGACCCCCCAGCACAAGTTCCTATCGACCTAGACATAGATGAGGATTTAGGGGAACAGACGATAAGGGAAATGATGTGGAAGGAAATACTACATTACCATCCCGAAGCAGCCACATCAACTATGGAAGTAGTTCTGTGAGCTTCAGCTTGTCCCTTTCAAGACACGGACCATGAAACGTTGTTGTTTAGATAATATTAGAGCTCTTTGTAATTTTATACTATCAAATATTTTCTGTCTTTTAATAATGTTAAGAGTTATATTGCATCAACAGCCTTGAACTTCTTGAGCATGTCGCTATTCTGTAAATAGTTCTGGTTTCATACGTGATCGACTTTGGAATTTATGGACATTACTGATGCTTCGTGAATATTTACGCCAGTACTAAATACTAATTGGTTAGTGCATCACTGTTTGTGATGTTAACTAGTGTTGCCTCCTCTATCTACCCTGAGTTAGTTATGATATATATGCCATGAAAGTTGTGCGCCATAGTTATGGGTGCATATCTTGCTGGTAGCTGTTGTGCATATCTGAAGGGAATAAGCAATAGTCAGAAGATGACTGAGATATGCCAAAAGAGAAAGATAGGATATGCGATAAGGATAGAATGGAACTGTTAAGCATCCAGACGCTTGCTGGTTTGCAGATTCTGGAGAGGCTGGTGAATATGAGTAACTACAGCCTATGAGTCATGCTTTCTGTTGCATTTCAAAGAATCATTCCATTTCAATACTCAACTCCACATGTCAGCGTGTTGGAGCTTTGGAGATTCTTGTTTGGAAGATAAATAAAGGAGAAAAGGAGGAAAACAAGAAAATCTTAACTTCTCAAGGTAGGTGTTGCTGTTTGAAAAGCTCTATGCAGGTTCACGGTGGACCTTTTTTTTTCGCTATTATATTTTCTATTGTTGCTATACTGGTTTCTAATATAGCATGGTAATTATCCATGACTTTACTATCATTTGCAGAACTTCCACTTACAATTTGTTTGGATGCTTGTTACTTCATAATATATTATGTTGTATTGTGTTGTATAGTTTTGGTGAATGCAATATTTGGATACATAGTATCATTTACCGTCATCTCGTGATGTCACACACCAATAATATGAATAATAAGTTTACAATATTGCAAAGAAAAAGTATAGTACATAATAGAATTTTTTTTTGGTACAAAGCATAAAAACTTGTATAGCCTGGACGGACGGCCCCTGACCTGCATTATTAAATTTTTTTAATAATGCTTAAAAAAAATAAACCAAAGTTATATGAGTTGACCTATCTAAGCTGTAGGAGCACACTGAAAGTAAAAGAAATGAAACTATTCTATATTTACAATGAAAAAGGACTTAGTTTTCTACAAGGTAGAAATAGGTCTGTTGGCAACAACTTTGTCTTTCACGTCAGGATCTGCGCGCACGGTGTTGTCGGCAAGCACAGAAGCGGATTCAGGAATTAAACTCTATGGGTTTAACTTTTAAAATTTTTAATATTGAACCCATTATATTTTTAAAGTTATGGGTTCAAATCTATTAATTTTGGCAATTTTAATGAATTTTTACACATAAATTTTTACTCCGCATCGAAAGTTATGGGTTCAATTGAACTCGTAGCTACCACATTGCATCCGCCTCTGGGCGCGCACGACACTATTTGTATCTGCTTGCGGCGTGGCTTTTGATGTCTTTCTGGCTGATAGTTCACCGGGTGAAGGAGAAAGATGAAACTGATTCAAAAAATTGAGACCCATATTTCTAATTCGACATTGAGTTGATGACTTTGAGTATGGTTGAGAACCATATAGAGTGCTTCGTACATAGAGTGGCATACACGTGGTTTTACATACTTGAAGACAAGTCGTACTTGTATTTTCTTCGTTTCAATTTATGTGAACTTATTTCCTTCTTAGTACGTTCCAAAAAGAATAATTTCTTTTTAAATTTGAAAACGATTTAGCTTAGAATTCCAATTTTATCTTTAATGAGAAGCTGTTATAACCACACAAATACTTTGGCCCCAATTTTGATTTGTTTAGAATTACAAATTCCAATTTTTTTTTTTTCTTAAATTACATGCCAAAAAACTTTCACTTAAATTGAAACGGAGTGGGGGAGTAGCTTTTACTCCATATAAATCGAAAAATACCTGAACCACCATTCACCCACCTACTCTCCTCGGAGATCCCACCTATTCACTTTTTTCCTCAATTTTCCTTCAAATTTTTACTTTCTTGGTACCCTTTTCATTTCTCTTGTCCACCTTTTTGTGCCTTTAAATCAGTCCACAACCTCAACATCAATCCCTTCCTCTTCTTCTCTTCTCCCCTTTGTCTGTCGAATCTTTAGTTTCCCAACTATTGTTACTCTGTTGTTAATTTTTTTGTTTTTGAGGTTGGTCTCTATTTTATAGATCTGAGGCTCCTTCTCTGTAATTGATGGCTGCATAGTTTGTGAATTGATGTCTCCAGTTGCGAGTGAAATCCTCCTTTGTGGGTTTATGATAAGTTGTTCACTTAGACGTAGGACCCATCTTGTTCAATCTTTCTCTGTTGTTTTCCTCTACTGGTTCTACGTTTTTTCATAAATCACTTGTCTATCTACTAGTAAGTACTTTTCTGGGGTCCTGCGTCTTCTTGGTGTAAATATATAATAAGTATATAGGAATATATATGACTTCATCTTCTTCAGGAGATTTGATGAATGAAAGGAAAAGGAAGAGAATGGTATCAAACAGGGAATCAGCAAGAAGATCAAGAATGAGAAAACAGAAGCATTTGTATGATATGATGTCACAAGTAGAACAATTGAAGGAAGAGAATATCAAGATCATAACAAGTATCAATTTGGCAACACAGAACTATGCTACTGTGGAGGCAGAGAACACTGTTTTAAGAGTTCAGATGATGGAACTTAACCAAAGGTTGCATTCTCTCAATGACATCCTCAGCTACATCAACAATAATGGAACAATATTTGAGGATCACAACTATCCTGAAACTTTTGTGAACAATCCGTGGAACTTTATGTACCAAAATCAGCCAATCATGGCATCTGCTCATATGCTTTATCACTACTGATTTAATAATATTGGATGGTGATTGATCTGCGTAATATTATAATGCTAGTGTATATGTTGTTATTATTATTCCTAATAAGGGAAAATCATAACGAGTCAAAGAAGATGAGCATGCCGGTTGGATCATGTATACTACTGATAATATTGAAACGTATGGTTGTGGATCTTTTACTTGTTTTAACTTGTTTATGATCGGTGTTCTTTCTCTCCCATCATTTTTTAAAATTATTATACTTATTATTGTATTACTATTATTGCTATTGTTATTGTTGTCATTTGGTCAAATTACATCTTTAGTCCCTAGAACTTGGCACAAATTTTCATTTAGTTGCCTAATCTTATGAGTTGTATCTATGGAATGGAATACCTTGTGGATATAAATTTATTTTTACCGATATTCATACCTAACTAAATAATTAATCTTAACAATTACTTCCTACGTTCCAATTTATGTGAACCTGTTTGACTGAGTACGAAGTTTAAGAAAAAATTAAGACTTTTGGAATTTGTGGTCCTAAACAAGTCAAAAAGGGGTCTAAAATATTTGTGTGGTTATAAAAGCTTCTCATTAAGGATAAAATTATAATTTTAAGCTAAATTGTTACTAAATTTAGAAAGGGTCATTCTTTTCGGAACGGACCAAAAAGAAAATAGGTTCACATAAACTGTGATGTTTTAAGCGTCAATACCACACAAGAGGAGGGGGGTGATTTGTGTGGTACCCAATTTTCGCTATAGAAGAACCTGGTTCTTCTAGGTGTTCTAACTAATACTGTTTGCAGAATAATAAGTACATAAAATAAAGAACATAGAGATTTTTACGTGGAAAACACCTGGCTCAAAAGGTGAAAAAAACACGATCTACTACTCAGTAGGATTTTCCCAAACTTCCACTAAAATCACTGAGCCAAAATAGCATTTACGAAAACTCTTTGTAAACCTAAGGATTAACTCTGATCCCGTTGTGGCGCACAACCTCAACTGTTGCGACAACTTCAAGTTAACTATAACTTGAACACTCTAGGTACCTAATACAATTGTTTCTATGAAAGCTCAAAGGTACAACTTTAAACTACCTACTACAATTGAACTAGAGTAAAAGACAGACACAATGGAACTGGTTCTTCTATCTCGTTCAAGTAGCTTCAGGAGTGCACACTCAAATCATACATAAATTGCTTGCGAAATCACCTTGCTTTTTGCTCTCAATTTAGTTTCACTTCTGCGTATGTGCAATACCTGTAAAAGAGAACAATCACTGTCATTTTATAGGTTAGTAATCAGAGTTTGATCGGGACTCAATTGCTGAACTTCTATCGTAGAAGAGTTCATGATGATCTCAAACTCTAACACTATCTTTATCTTGGATCGTGTTCTCTTCATATAAGGAGACTTTCTCCCCTTATCTAATATGCAACCTTTTCGATCAGATCAGGAGATATTGCTGCTTGATCAGTAGGACTTATCTCCTTCACGTGCATCTCACATGCATAAATTGATCATGACTGTGCTTCACAAGATGGACCTGGTCCATGACTGAGTTCATTTGTCATTCTTCAAAACTCCACCTGTTCTTGGGCCAACAAATTCCCCTTTTTTGATGATGACAAACTCTGTGCTTTTTACTGATTTGAATCCCGTAAGAACTCAGGTTAACCGTCAATACTAAACTTAGAAAATTCACTTATCATCAAGGACCAGGTTAATTAGGTTATAACTATCAATTATTTTCAGAATGTGTAAATCACAATATCTCTTCACCCTTTTGGCATCATCGAAAAGTTGCATACGAAGTGTGATACCCAAATTTTAATAAGTACTCATGGCCACTGGGGCAACTGCAAGTGCAATCATGGTGCAATCATCAGTAATCAAACAAACATGTTTAAACTATCAAGGACAGATTAATCGTTGAACAAGAGAAAACAACAGTTAACATTGATAGAGATATGTTGCCACCTACAATCCACAAAAAGAAAGAAAAACATTCAAACCATGAGCAAAAAATAGAAAAATCCCTAATCTGGGTCACTAGGGGTACTGAACAAGTTCAGGAGACAGAAGCTAGGAATCCTAAGGCTTGGAGGAACTGGAAGGTTGGGTTTGAGTTTGGAGAAGATTCAGCATGTTCTGAAGAATTTCATCATTCTTCTCCTTTTCTTTGGCAAGCTAAGTTTTGAGACCATCCCTCTCAGTTTCCACTTCAACCACACGAGCCTTGAGCCTAGCAATTTCAGCATCCTTGGCCACACATTCCTGAACCAAAGTCCTAACTTTGCTGTTGATGGGTGTCTTCTGGGATGAACCAGGTTTAATAGGGATGACATTGACTGAATAGTCACAGGCAAGAAGAGTTTTGATGCCAAAGTGTTCCTTGCTCGAAGTCATTTCCCATTTCTTTAGAGGCACATTTAGCCTATCCAGAACTGTGGTCAAAATGAAGCCATATGGAGTAGCATGAGCTTTGGAGCCATTTATAACCCTGTCTAACAGTTTGATAATGAAGGCAGGACATTTGATTTGCTTTCCTCTCTCTAGGCACTCTATAAGAACCAGATCCATGTAGTTAGCAGTGTGCCTTCTCTCCTGTCTAGGCAATAAGCACTTGTTGACAAATTCAAATGCAACCTTGTGCTTAGGCCTCATTTCACTTTTCTGCACAGCCCTGGCTTCAGTCACCTCTTCTAAATCACAAAACCTTTTGGTGATTTCAAGGGCAGTAGGGAGGGAGTCCAGGCATGGCCACCTTTGCCTTGTATAGTCATCAAACCCTTTAGAGGGTATGTCCAGGATCTCTCCCAGTTTCTCTGCATTAAACTGCACTTGAACTCCTTTCACCAGGCTACTAACGACTCCATCCTTAACAGCAGCATTGACCATAAATTCAATCAGCTCATTTTTGGCTAGCCTACTATCCATCTGAAGGACCATGTCCTTCCATCCCTGAGCAGCTAAAACATCCACCAATCTCATCATTCCTGGTTCCACCAGGTCCCTCAACAGTCTACCCTTTAAAATCTTTCTTCTGCCAAAAATGGAAAGCTTGTCCTGTTCCTTCTCAGAATTATTTTCTTCTTCTTCTCCACTCCAGTCATCATCATCAGAAACTTTTGATTGTTTGGTTTTCACTGTAGATCTTGTCCTCTTGGCTAGTGTGGGCTCAGTAGCCACAGGCATAGAGGAAGACTTCTTGAAAGATGTCTTGGGATTTTTAGGCTTGGGTGTAGAAATCTCCATTGTTGTACCCCTATCTTGATGGACCAGTTCCATCTCCTTTTCCTCAACAGTCTCTGAGGATTCTGCAATCTTTCCCTTTCCTTTATCCTTTTTCTTACTTTCTTCTAAGGCCCTTTGTAAATCAGTTTTACTCTGTTTCACCCTGCTTTTTGTGGCTCTACCCCTTGGCAATGAGGAGGCAGTAGGTGTTGGAGATAAAGCCTTTCTTTTCTTGGAAAGCTTTGGAACATTTGGGGCTTTTGTTGTGGGATTTCTGCGTTTCTTTGGGTCATAGCTTGCCTCAACCTTTTTCAAAAGATCAGCTACGGTCTCTTCAGTAGATGAAACAGGTTCATCTCTCCGTGTGCTCAGATGAACCAACCCCTCAGTAGCTTCCCCAGAACCACTTCCCCATGACTTCATGTCACTCTCTTCTACCCTTTCATGTTCAACCCCACATATGGCAAGCACTATAATTTTCCCAATTCCCCTCTCTTCACCATATGCACCCTCTCTCTCTCTTTTTCTTTTTCAAAATTCTTTTTACCTCCACTCCTACGTTTCTCAGGCAATTCAACATCTCTAATTGGTACAACCAGAATAAACCTAGTCTCTAGGTTTTCAATCACAGATGAACTTACCTCAGAAGGAGATTCTTGAATCTTTTCATAATCAGAAGACCCATGTCCTTCCCCCTCAGTTGCGGATTGATAGGATTCAGACTCAGAGCTGGAGTCGGAATTTGGAGCTTGGCTTTCTTTCACTTGGCTTGCTTTCAACCTTTCATTTAAAGCCTTCCTCAGAGCCCCAGATGCTACAGTCTTTCGAGCAAGCATTTTCACCCTTCGTAGTCTAGGTTTTGGGGATACACTGGGTGGAGTAGATGAGGATGAATTTGAGGGAGATGGTGGTGGATGAGTTCTAGGATTTTCTTGTAGGTTAGACATGATTGTTGGTTTCTTGAGAGAATCTGGGAATTTTGGAGAATAGGGCAAGTGAAAGTGAAGAAGAGTTTTTGACTGTTTGGAGTTATGATGAAGGTTGTAGAAACGATGTATAGTTAAAGGAATTACACATTTAATGAGTAACGACAGCCTTTTGCAGTGGTCAAATAGGAGTCTAATCAACCTGAAATTCCAGATTTTGAATGATCTATTTGGCTTCCCTAGATATTAGGAAAAAATTACGGTTTAGAGTTCTAGGTGGACGGAACTGGTTCAATGCTAACGGATAGAATTTTCTAGGAATTTGACAAGTATAGGACTTCTACTCATGATTGAATTATTAATCTTTCTAATCGTGCAGAGTATAAAAACATACCTGAGCTTTCATATGAACCCATACTGATGAACCAGGTTCTTCATTTAAAACTCTCTTGAACATGCCTCAAATGCCATAATAGAGAAAAATTTATAAGAGATCAGTGAGTCATATAAACACATGTCACAGGAGTATACTAATTAAATTATGAAGTTGAGTAAGAATTAATCTAGATATTTACACAAGTTCAAAATTCCTAGCCAATTTTTTTCATATTTTTTATTTTTTTTTCTTGTGCATTCTGAGCTGGACCTATTAGGTGATCTTAATCATCCCTAATTCCAACCTGTTCCTCTCAAAGTTTTCTCTACTCAGTGCTTTAGTGAAGATGTCAGCAATTTGCTTATCAGTAGCACAGAATTCTATGGAGATCAATCCTTTCTCATAGTTATCTCTTAAGAAGTGGTGTCTAACATCTATGTGCTTAGTCCTCTTATGATGAACAGGGTTCTTTGTCATACTTATAGCACTAGTGTTATCACAGAATATAGGAATGCAATCAACTTCAATGCCAAAATCTACCAGCTGCTATTTGATCCATAACAATAGAGCACAACAAGATGCAACATCAGCATATTCAGCCTCAGCAGTGGATAAGGCCACTGAATTTTGCTTTTTAGTGGCCCAGGATAC